ATTATTATTTTTTTAATAATTGAAATTTAAACGAAAAAATAAATGAAAGATATATAATAAAATACATAAATAAATATATGAATATATTGGCTTTGATTTACTTTAAGAGCTGTCAAACTCAACTCTCATAGTCTTATGCCTAATCAATTTTAAAACCCACCCTCTCAACATTTTGTGTGTGTGCGTGAGTGCGTGTAGGTGTTTGTTTGCCAAACTATCAAGAGCAACGTTTTTGTGTTATATTTTTAGCTGAATTTAAAAGAAAAAAAGAAAAAATTATGAAAACTATATGCCGCGTATCTGTGCAGATCGTGTGTTGTATATAGAAATTGTGAAGAAGCATAAAGTGAAACATGTGTGCCTAAAAGCTGGCGCAGCATCATGAGCACCAGCAGCAACGTTCGTGGGGCAGATGGCGGCGAACAGGCTACGCCTAAGCCGCCGCTGCCTCCGTTGCCTCATGAGCTGACCGCCGAGTGGACGGTGCGTGCCCAATTGACATTCGCGCGTGCAGGTGAGCCAGTGCAGCGGGAGTTCAATGCACAGGAGCCACTGCAGCCGATGCGTGTGGTGTACAAGTGGAGCACGCCGCACACTGAAGCCGAGCACGAAGCGGAGCCAGAGCCGGAGAAGGTGAGCAGCCTGATGGAAATTAATTTATCGAAACACGACTAGAGCTAATTATTGAATGAATCCGCCAGGCAACGACTGCCACCAGCTTTCGCAGCACCAACTCCTCGGCCACGACATATGCTGACTCGGCCTTTGGCAGTCCGCAGGCCTCGCGACACCAGCAGTCGGAGGCGACGCCGGGCGGTGTTACGGCTCAGCTGTGCGGCACACGTTGCCGCAGCACCTGCAACATTGTTGTCTCTGCCGTGGCCGATTTTCTGCCACAGAACGAGCAGCAGCAGCAGCTGGACCCGGCTGCAAATGAGCCCTTCGTCTATCACAGCAAGGTGCGTGCACAGCAGCTGCGCGATGCCTACTCACAGACCAGCGACACGGAGGAGCGTCCGAGGCGTCGGCCTGCCTACGAGCAGCGACGTGCGACAGCCGAGGGACTGGTCGATTTTGCCAGCAGGCGGCAGGCGGAGGAGGCGAACACATATGTGGTAAGCAGCAGAGATAGAGAGATAGATAGAGAGAGTGAGAGAGAGGGAATCATCGTATTCTATTAATTAATCTCATATTGCAGCCAACCTACTCACCCACGCTGACGCCCACGCCCATAACGCCTTCGTCCACGTTCAAGTCGGCATCGATGTCGCGCATACCGCCACTGGCCACTGGAGCTGCGACACAGACATCGCCCCGTCTGCCTAATCTGGGCGAGAAGAAGCCGCGCACTGTGCACATTGATGTCTATTGCACCGGCTCCGAGGAGGATGAGGAGCATGCGGATGCCGAAGCCTCCAGCTCCGATTCGGATAACAGCAATGACCAGAAGCTCTACGAGCTGGACTCCAATTCAACGCCCCAGACTGTGCTGGACAATGAGCAGATGCTGCTGCGACATCAGCGCATCTCAGGCGCTGCACTGCCGCGTCGCCTGGCCCAGAGATCGCCACAGCCCTCGGCCAAGCAGCAAAAGCAACAAAAGCAACAGCAACAACAGCAACAGCAGCAGAAGCTCAACCTGGGTCATGCTATTACCAAGTGCAGCACCGTCGAGGAGGTCAGCGAGTCCAAGCAGCTGCTCTTCCGCAAGCACATTGGGGATCAGCGCGCCGCCAAGTTGGCCACACTGCGTCAGAAATATATGCGCCAGCCGAGCGACGAGACGCAAAGCAGCGGCGCCTATCCGAACTCCTCGCGTTCGACAATGCCGCGCGATGCCACCTGCAGCAGTGTGTCCAGCGCCCTGGCTGGCGACTATGTGGACACCTCGTGGAAGGATACCGATGAGGTGGATGCGCCAGCATTTGCAGTGCTCTCCAAGTCGGATAGCTTCGACTATGAGAACTCGCTGGATCGTGTGCGCATTCGTCAAATGGAGCGTCTGTGGGCGAGGCAACACTCCACGCCGGAGCAACACACCATGCAACAGCAGCAGCAGCAACCACCACAGCAGCAACAGCCGCCTCTTCTATCCACTTCACCCCATCCGCCGCTGACGACCATAAGAGAGGTGCACTCGCAGTGTGGCTCATTTCAGCGCAGCGATACGCTGCCCTCCGAGTCGGATGCGTTCTCGGAGCACAATGTGGGCTACAATACCTATCCAGGCAGGCAGCTGCAACATCAGCAGCAACAGCAGCAGCAACAATTGTCGAATGTGCCACGCAATCGTCCTGGTTTTCTGCAGTTCTTTGGTCCGCCCGCCAGCCCAGAGCCGACGGCACAGCCGGCGCCGGCTACAGCGCCCGTTGTTGCAACTGGAGCTGCACCTGGCATTGATCCCTTCAAGCGTCTGCATCCCGGCTATCGCTGGAAGAGCGAAGCGCGCGACAATCTCTGCGTGCAGGCAGCGCCCGGCTCACCGTCGTCCGAGCGTAGCTCCCCTCAGCTCTTGTCCACGGCCAGCACCGTGCTGCGCTGCGGCAGCGAGGCACCGCCCAGCACCACCTCGGCCACGACCTTTGGCACTGTGGCCGCATCGCCACTGCCTGCACGTCGTTTCGAGATCTCACGCGATAGTCCGAGTCTGGCCAGCGATGTGTCCACCAGTGTCTCCGGCTATACACACGAGCATTTGGAGAAGGCGCTGCGTTTTGGCAATGTGGTTGTCATGCGCAAACCGGGCCACCACATCGGACCCACCAAGAATCCCAATTGCCACTGCGAGAGCTGTCAGCGCTGGATGGCCGAGCGGTTCCAGATGCGCGGACGCGCCTTCTCCTTGGGCGAGCGACCAATTCTGAGACGACCGCAGCCCTAGAATAGCATTTAAGGGAATGTTGAATATGGAAAGGCCAAGGCAAAGAGTTGAAGGGGCGTGTGTGAGAGAGAGAGAGAGAGAGAGAGAGAGAGAGAGAGAGAGAGAGAGAGAGATTAGTATAGATATAGAAAGACAGTTGTGAATGTCCGTCTGTAAGAGCTGAAGATGATATGATGCATATCGATGTGCTTATACAAATAGTAGTAGAATTTTGTGAAAACATTATTTTATTATATTTTGTATTAATTTTTAAAATGAACAGAATTTAAGATTAAGAATTGATATGGTAGAGGATCATAAAGAGAGTCATTGCAAAAATATATAAGTGCAGTTCCATAAAGAGACTTATGGACAAATTTAATGCACTTTCCATGAGCTTTGGTAATCTTAACTAATAATACTAAATAATAGATCACTTTCCATATATCCAAGTTTCTCTTCTCTTGCCTCGGTCTTTTATAACTTCGGCTCCGTTCGAATTTACGCATTTCGTATTTATTCTATGTTTATTTGATTTTTCTGATTTTAGCTTGCATTTAACACTCTGCATAAGTTGCCACGCCCATTAATCCGAATCCGAATCCCAGCCTCAAATAGAGACTTAAGCCAAATACATATATATATTGTTTCCAATGTTCCTCAAACGCTGAATCACTTTTTAATATGTATATGTGTGTAATCAAAGTAATCAATAAATATATCAATTATTTAAAATAGAATAAAAAACAACAAAACTAAAAAAATGGACATTTATTTTAATAAAATAAATTTCAAATAAATTTCATAATGCTTTAATTGTGTTTTTGGTTCTTCTTCTAGGCACACGGCCGTCTGTCGGAATCGTCGCGTAAACTTGATCTCTTGCGCTACTCCTTGGATCTGCGTCGCCAGGAGTTGCCTCCTGACTCGCCCACCGCCCAGCTGCTCAAGCAGGAGCTGCAAATCGTGCAGCAATCGACGTCGCCGGCGCCCGTGCATTATACATCGCTGCAGTCGGGTCCGGGCGGGCTGCTTGGGGGGAAATCGTATCAGTCTGTGTCGTCGCTGGGCCGGTGTGCGAGCGTCACGGGCAAGCTGGAGGTGCGTCTGATGGGCTGTCAGGATCTGCTGGAGGATGTGCCCGGTCGTTCGCGGCGTGACAAAGACAACAGCTCTAGTCCGGGCGATTTGCGCAGCTTTGTTAAGGGCGTCACGTCGCGCAGCAGCTCCAAGAGCTATTCGGTCAAGGATGAGACATCGTTTGAGATCATGGCTGTCATCAAGCTGGACAACATTACGGTGGGCCAGACCTCGTGGAAGCCATGCTCGCAGCAGGCCTGGGACCAGCGTTTCTCCATCGATCTAGATCGCTCCCGGGAGCTAGAGATTGGCGTCTATTGGCGTGACTGGCGTTCGCTGTGCGCCGTCAAGGTGCTGCGCCTCGAGGAGTTCATTGACGATGTGCGCCATGGCATGGCACTGCAGCTGGAGCCGCAGGGCCTGCTCTTCGCCGAGGTCAAGTTTCTGAATCCGATGATCTCGCAGAAGCCGAAACTGCGACGCCAGCGCATGATCTTCAATCGGCAGCAGGCGAAGAACATCTCGCGTGCCAAGCAAATGAACATCAATGTCGCCACCTGGGGACGCTTGCTCAAGCGCAATGCGCCCAATCATGTGCATTTGGGTGCGGGCAGCAATGCGGCTGCCTCCACAACTTCGATGGCTGTGGGACGCGGCTCCTCGCCGCTGCCCAGCGCCGCCTCGCGGGGCTCCGAGTCGCCCATATCGCGCACACCCTCCTCCGATGCGCTGGCCGTCGAACCGGAACCCTACTCGCCGGGCGAACAGGCACAGAACATGGAATACGATCCGGATGCGGGCATGCACGAGCATGTGGAGACGCCCGGTGAATATCCGGATCCTGCAGCCAGTGGGTTGAGTGGACTGCGTCCGCTCTCCATGCACATGCAGGGCATCAGTGTGCTGCCACCAGAGACGCCGCCGCCGGCGTCGCAGCAGCCAGTTGCCAGCAGCGCAGCTCAAGCCGGCGGCAGACCCAATTCGCTCAGCCTACAGATGCCTGGCAAAACGCCGCCGGGACGCACAGCCGCGCCCACTACGGCACCACCGCCGCCGCCTGTGCTGAAGTCGGTGACACCTGTGCTCGACCAGGAGGTAAGCGAAACAACTACTCTAATGCTTGGCAACTGTATAGCAAAAAGAATTACTACTTCCCCTATACACATATATAATATTGCTCTATATAAATACATATATAACTATACATATGTATATATGCATATATGTAGTTATATCTTTGTAGCTGATTTGATCGTTGTGCCTCTGCCAGAGCTGTTCATTCTGTAAATTTACCCACATAGCCCATACATCTATATAGTCTATGTCTGGTTCGCTTTGGTGTTGGTTCATTTGGATATTGTTCTCTCTTTTGTAACTGTACATATAGTTATACATATATATCATCGGATTAGCAACCAAATACTCCATACAGAACAACTCGACGTTGAGCCATTTATATAATATTTACTAGATGATGCATTTACCTGATCCATTTCACGATCATTACGAAGTCATTTAAATTAATCGAAGAGTATTGTTCTATTAGTAACTAGTTCTTCGGAACTGTAAGCACTTAGCTAGTTCCTAAATGAGATGTAGTTAAATTGTGTTGTCTTAGCTTTGTAGAACAATTTGCTGCAAAATTATACAAATTGAACTAGTTCCAAAATTCATATTTCCATTCAGATTATGATGTATCAGAATGCAAATAGCTTATTACACAAATTAGTAGGCTACAGCCATCCTTTCGTAGATGTATTGCTAGTCACTGCAGAGTTTAGTTAGTAAGAATTTTCAGTAATTTGTTATTGACTCTTTTGAACTAGTTCTTTACATTGAGGTCTCATCTAAGCTGCCCTAGTTCATTCTGCCTTTCCAATCGTGATCTTCTTACATACTGCATACCGCTTACGCTTAGCTAAATCCTGCTATCTCCCATCGCTTGTGTCTCGCTGTCTCTTTGTCCTTCTATTTCATTTTCTCTACATATATATCTATCTCTGTCGTTCTGTCGCTCTCTGTCTCTATCTGTCTCGCCTTCTCTCTGAATCTCTTCTCATTTCTCACTGTCTCTCTCTGAATATATTTTCAACGAATCGCTCTCCTCTCTGTGTATATTCGTCTATCATCTCTTCGTCTTTCTCTTCCCTCTCGACTTTACGCTCTCTCTCTCTCTCTCTTTCTCTCTGTCTCTGTATGTCTTTCTATCTTCTCTCTCTCTCCTCTCTTCTTTCCCTCGTTTCTCGCTATATATTTTTCTCTCTTTATTTTCTTCATTTATCCTCTTCTCTCTTCATCGTTTTATCATTTCGTCCACATATGTGTTTCGCGAATGTCTTTTTTTCCTATGTTCTATATCTCTCATCTTTCTCTGTGTACCTTAACTTCAATAGCCACATGTTTTATCCATATTCCCCATTTCTGCTCTCTTCCACACACACACAAACACCCACACACACACATGCATATTCTTTCGCTGTTTCTCCTGCCTGCTGTTATCGCTTATCGCTTTGCCTGCTCTCGTCCGCGCGTGTGTGTGTGTRTGTCCTGTCATGATGCCGTTAATCGCCGACAGTTGCAGGATGCATTGCATGAATTTGACTTCCTTTCCGAAATGGAATCATATCCAAATACGCTGCGCCGCCCGCTGCCCAAGGAGCAGCGACACCTCGAACCGGATCCGTTCGAGCTGGAGCAGGAGCAGCACCTGAAACGCATGGCCACGCTCCGTATCATGCAGATAGAGACCGTAATGCCCCTGCAAGAGTCGCCGCCAGCAACACCCGATACACAAATTAACAACCGCAACAGCATCAACAACATTTGCCTTGAAGCCCCAGCTCCAGCTCCAGCTCCAGCTCCAGCTCCAGCTCAAGCTTCATCTCCATCTCCATCTGCAGCTGAGCAGAGGCTAAGCGCAAGCGTTGAGCTCACCTCCTTAACAATACGCAACCCGTTTCAGTTCCAGCAGCCGATCGAGAAGCCAGCAGACAGACAGTCGCCAGCTGCGCCATCGGCGGTGGAGCAGCAATTGCATCGTCCCGTCCTGACGCTGCCGCCGGTGGTGCTCGTTGGCGGCGGGGCCAATGATGAGGAGCATCCAATGCTGGTCACTTGCTCCTCGTCATCGCCGCTGGTTGAGTATCCCGAGGATGATGATGAGTATTTGTACGGCGGCGGGCTGCAGCCCGGCTCCAGATGCAGTTCCAGTGCCGGTGATCGTTTCTGTGTGGAGGTTAGGAGGTTTTTCTTTCTATCATTTGGATACCCTGTTTACAATTTACTATTCGGCTTTTGGTTTGGATTTCCTTAATTAATTTAAATTTTGTCCTAATCGAGTTTCAAATATTACTACTAATGGCAGCTGCAACGTGTTTCACATGATTTATGTTATTCTGGTGTTTCGTTACTGTTAATGTGTTTCTATGTTAGCTGACAGCTGCTTTACAAAAGCTTCAAAATGTTTCTGTTCCGCCATCACTTTCACGATTCGCCTTTATGCTAACTCTTAACTGCACWTAAAAGCACTCACTCACTTAACATTGAGCACTTATGCTATGCACTTAACAGGCACGCAACAAACACAGCTAATGGAATGTATATTAACAGCACTTGCTCATGTAGTTGCTCTGAAAGTTTGCAGACAGTATATCTGTTAATTAACATTTCTGTAGTTAATTTCACTTTAACAGCACTTGCAATGTAGTTTAGCTAACAGCAACTGTAATGAGCGCAATATATCTGTAGTAGTTTAAATTATATTTATATTTATTTAAGTTTTTTTTTTTTTATAAGTAAACTAATCAAATGAAAGCTCTGAATATTGTTTAAAAGTGTTAGGGTACACCTATGATATATTAAGTCTAATTTTGACAGCTGAAGAGTTTTTGTCTTTTACGAAACTCTCACACTTCAGCTACTTTGACTAATATTGAAAATGTTAGATAAAAACTTATAATATTTATGAGTCTTATACAAACATCGTTTACATATTCACGCAAAAGTCTTCTACTTAATGCAATGTTAACAAGAAAACTGTCATTATTCACTTATAATTGAATGAGTCTTATGTTAGATGTTTTCTGGCAGCGAAAGGAAATGTTTGATGAAAGCTTTGAAATTTGTGTTAGAAGTAAATGGGAATATTTTATATACGAATGTCAGATACCCTGTAATGTTTGTAGATGAGCGTAAATTTGAAATTATGCATATAAATGCATATTAATTAAGATATTTAAAAAAAATATACATACATACACATATATTATATAATTATAAATATTTAATGCAATTTCATGAGCTAGAAATCGTAAATTCTAATTTGATAACCCTTATGACAAGCAATTATTTTGTCTAGAATTTCTTGCATGTGTTTAGCAGATACCCTGTAAACACATTAACGAAAAAAAATACATCATTTATTATAGATGAGTGTTTTGATTCAGACTACGACTTGCTAGACATATTGTCTCACTTATTAGATATACTTTGCAGATTTAGCTATTTTATATTTATATAAATACATATATATTTGTGTGACAATATGCAAATAACGTGTGCAAAATGAAACAGCTTAAAAATAGCAAAAAGTTTCTATTGAAAAGGCGGAAAATTGAAACATTAAAACGCGAAACGTTTCACGTGCCAGAAAATTTCTTTTTAACTTAAGTGCCTGGCGGTCACCCTGTATATGTTTTGGTTTCTGTCTTAAGTGTTGTCCACATACATGGAAATACACCCTTACATACACACACACACACATACACTCACTCAATTGCAGCTAAGCGTATTTGTACGTTTGTCTTTGCCTTTTTGTCTATTATTTTTAAAAGCAATTCACGTTGCAAACTCGTATATATAGCCATTTATATATATATATATACATACATATACAATATATACATATATCTGTGCTATATGGTCACATTTCGCAACCCATGGCAAATAGACATCCAAAAAACATAGAAAATGAATTGCTTTGGCCTCTCTGGTCTTGACTTTGGCACTCAGTTTTGTTTCTTGGCCAAGCGAATTAGTTGTTGTCCGTCATGTTGCAAGCGCCAGCAGCAGCAGCAGCAGCAGCAGCAGCGCAATGATTGTGCCCACATTTCAGGCATTGGCGCAGATGGTGCGGCAGCTGTGCGCGCTGCAACATCAGCAAAAGCAGCAGCAGCAACAACAACAACAACATTCACATCAATTTCATCAATTTGCCTTGACCAGGCCGTTGCAACAGCTGCTGCTAACAGCAACAGCAACAGCAGCAACCTCTGCACCTGTATGTGTTTCGTGTAGTTCATGTTTGCTCTGTCCCCAGAAGAAAACAAAAACCATTTAATAAACTCTTGCAGGCCAAGATCAATGTTGTACATATAACCTTCGAACCCATTGAGACAGCAGCAACACCCAGCAGCAACAGCAACAGTAACAGCAACAACAACAGCAGCAGCAGCCTTATAGAGGAGGCAGCCATCGAGAGTGTTTTAATAACTAATGTAGAGTCTGTTCAAGAGCTCGATGAGGTAAAGCTTGAACGCGCATAAGTACACACACATATATATATAAATATATT